TTAGCCTACCATTGTTATGTTTATCACGAAGTGTCAAGGAGATCAAATCAAAAGAGTGGGTATCGAGATTTCATAAAAGTCTATATTTTCCTCCGGGTCTTAGAGAACAAATATAAAAAATGTGGTGCAGATCGATCAAAGGGTTTAGGAATTAATAAGAGAATGAAATCGGAAGATGGAGTGTCCAGGTTTCGTGGTAGTTTATTTTCCACGAGTCCACGAGAATAAGCAAGGAAAATTTGGAACAGTTAGACCAAAAAGAAAAGAACAGAGAAACAAATTATCAATTATTTGTATGCACTGTATATACAGATACAATATATATAAAACTGACTAAATTTGGAAGGTCCAACAACAATTTCGACGGTAGATAATGGTTCCGAGGAACAGTCCCAACAGTTCCGACATACTGTCTAATGAGCATAATTATTTTAAAAAATGTTTATGAATGCCGAAATGTTTTAGATTTCGAATAACGATATTTAAAGAAATAAAAGGAATATGTTTTAATGACAATAAATGGTATGGTTTGGTTTATTGGTGTACGGAAACATGACACGTGGGCTATCTACCGAGGGGGGAGTGTCTCCTGGGAGGTCTTTAATGGGAAACTGGCCCCTATTTAGGTGTTACTAACGTGAAGAAAACCCGGAAAATTCCACGTGGCCAAGCGCAGACTCATGACCAACTACCATTTTTTATCGGTTTTATCCACTCGGGCACAGGTGGGTTTACAATAAATGTAAAAAAGCTGATTGAAACAAAGATGATCACATGATAAATAGAAATAGTAGGTACGTTCGTCGTTGTTGTTAACTTATGGCAACGCAACGCTTGGGCGATCTGGCTAGGGGGATGCCTTCCGGGAGGTCTTTTTAAGGGAAACCGGCCTCTATTTAGACGTTATAGACGTAGAGAAGACCCGGAAAACACCACGTACCCAGCCCGTCCGAGCGAGGCGCAAACCCACGACTGAACTCCCAGTATTCAGGGTAGGAAGACTGGTGGGCCCTAGGTGCAGTACGTTCGTAAAGTCGAACGAATTAAACGTGTTGCTAACGAGTCGGTCATAAAGTACAAATTCCATTCAGTACGCATGCTGGATGTTGGTGACGTTTCAGACGAAACTCTTAACGAAATTCACGAAGAAATTAGTTTATTTCGTTAAGAAAATGGCGCCCGTCGATATCAATGTTTCTAAATTACTCGAGTGTTTAAATTGTGGGTTAAAAAGTGAAATAATACAAATAACTCCGTCTGAAGCAATCTAAAAAAAATATTCGGATAAGTCTGCACTAGCAACATTCATATAAGGACCGGATGGCCGAGCGGTCAAGGTGGCAGCCTACAGCTCTGGGGGACCCTGGGTCGAAAATCCCCAGGAATTTTTCGGGGTGGTACGTCCGGATATGTTTGGCTTTGCCCCTCACCACCCACCCCATTGTGGGCCTGGCCAAACCCATAATAGGCTTGCTAAAAGAGGCCCTCTTAGTGCCCACTGGGCAGAAAGAATTTTTAAAAAACCATGGTCAAGTCTAACACACTAAGCAGTTCCGTTGGAACAGTTTCACACTCGGGATTAGTTCCAATAGTCCAGTTCAAAAACTGGAACTGGATTTTCCACCATCATTTTTACCTATTGCACTATTAAAATTAATCTTTGCATAACTTTATAAGTATGCGGTTGATTGCACAGTATCTTATTACCATACAAAGAAAAATAAGTATTCCAATACTGGTATACAGTACTTAACTAGCAACTCACCTTACCGAATTTTTGTTGCTGTTTCATGGTCCACCTGCAATTGATATCATCATTTAAAATAATTATTTCCTTTATAGTTATCATTGGAACTTGATAATTATATAAAAGAAAACAACAAAATTCCGCATTCCACGAAACAGTTTGAATCAGTTTCGATACATCAAAAGTTATCAAGTAATTTGTATACCATGTCGTTCCGGTCGTTTGCTTACTCCAATTGCTCTCTTTGGGAATGTTAATTAATGTCATTACTCCTACTCGGTAGAGCAGTCAGCCGAATTCCCCAGAAAATAAATGTCAAACTGACGTGAAAGTAAAAGCTATTCTGACGAACACACTAAATATGTGATCGTTATGAGCACATTTTTACATTATTAACATAGGTTACTGGAGCGATTTTGTTTCCGAGACGAATATTAGGTTAACAAATTTTAGAACTCCTCTATTTCGCAACTCCGTAATTACTAGGAATCGGCAGAAATTGTCAAGATTAAACTTCTTTTGCGTTAGAGAAAAACGGTAAGCTGGCTCCATGATAACTCAAAGGTACGATTAGAAGTATCGTGTCTAAAACAGGGTTATATTTTTGGCATCTGGTATCATAAAAAAGATCACGTGTAATATAGGAATAAAAGTGAGTTACGGTATTTGTTTTATTATACTATTGTTCGAAGAGATTTATTTATTTTATAAATGGCCGTAGAACAAGAGGGGAAGGTGTGTCTATCGATTTTGAGATTTTCCTTTCGTCAATTGTGTTACCTTTATCGATTGATGTGGAGAAGGATAAACATATATACACCAAACGTTTATTCTTATAATCTTTCTTCCAACGCAAATTTATTTGAGACTTAAGAATGGAGTTTCGTCTGAAAGAGAACGAAGAAATTAGTAATTGATGTGTGATATTAGATTTGTAAGATCGTTAATTAAGTAAGAGAAAAGAGGAGGACGTAGGAAATTTTTAGGGGTTGTTTCGATTTGTTATTGAAAAGAAAAAGATGACTAACCAACTACTGAATGTAAACATTGTAAATTTAACTTTCTTTTAATCATTATTAAAGGAATATTCGCGTTCTAGATACTAGAATCAGCTGTTTTAATTCTACTTATTCAAAGTTAGATGGAGAATTTGGCTTTCAATTACGTTTACATTTTATTTGCGGTTAGTCAAAGCGTTTTTGTGTATAGAATTAGACGTTTATACAGTAAAAAATGCTAGAATTTACACTATCTTTCACAATAATGAGACAGGTAGCTGAAATTAAACTGTGGATTCTAATTTTGTTTTTCTTTTCGAAATGTTTCAAATCTCCGGATTTAATAGAGTCGATGTTGACGTTGAGTCGAAGAGTACAGAGCAGACTTTAGCGGAGTTCTTAGGTAGAAACCTTATCTATACAACCGCTCGGTATCAGAATATGAAATATACGAATGCTAATTTTTACAGAAATTAAAATGAGTTTTTTTAGAAATTGTTTACAATTTCTAAACGTTGATTATATTTGTATGTATCCACAAATATAATCTAAATGAAAACGATAAAATTTGGAATGACTCGTTTTATAGGAGCTATTGTAGAAGCTTCTATTCCGATGATAGTACCATTCTAGTAGGTAATCGGCCACAAAATTGATTCTAACGGTTGTATTTAGGTCATGAAAAGTCGTCGACGGTCGAATTTTTCCGCTATCGATCGGATAACAACGTCAACAGCAATATCCCTACAAAATCTATCGATAGATTCTGTAGGGGTAGTTTGCGTGACACTCGTAATGATTACGTCATCCATACGGAGATTCATCCATTCTCAATAATAACGAAAGAAGTGTTACCTGTACCTTGTGAATTTTAGACCAAAATACTTTTCGCAATAATTCAATAACCAAAATTCCCAATCAAAACAGTGTTCTGGCAGTGTTTAACTATTCCCTATTCAGATACTTACTAACAAGATTTAATTATTTTTATTATCTAAAATTATAGAAAAATCAATAAAATCTATGTATAATGAATTTTAAAGACGTAATATTTATTGCATGTAAATAAAAATTATCACTATTTGTACAAATTTAAAGAATATTTCTTAAAATTTAATCAAAGACGTGGTTTCCTTCACACGATAATTATTCCCATTCGATCTCTTGAAAAATGCTTTTTACAAAACACTTGTTACTCTAAAATATTTATGGAAAAGCATAACAAACAAGAGAATTTCTGAAATAATAATTATTTTTTATAATGTGAAGAATAAATTAATAAAAACGTGTCATATAAATTAAATACTGTATAGTACTTCTCGCAGCAATTAGCAAAAATATATTTTGGCTCTAAAAAGAGTTGTGGTATTGTTTGAATTGTCAAAGAATATTTCATCATATACATTAAAGATTATCTGGTTTACAAACAAAATCATGAATTTCGACTTTATTACGTAAACTTATTTTCTAAATTACTGATGAATTTCATCAGTAATTTAGAAAGTAAGTTATTATTTGCTTACCAAAGATAGTTATACAGAATACCAACTCAAATTATTATAAAACAGAACTCCGAATTTACGATTTAATTGATTTCTGGAAAACTACCGTTAATTCAATTGTCGTAATTCGAAGTCTGGTTTGCCATAGTGGATAAGTGTCATAAATTAAGATTACGTCCCCAGAAATAGATTGCACCACGTAATATCAAATACCAATGACCACTTAAAATATATGACTCCATTACGATTATTTATTAAACGATAACAAAATATTTTTTAGCTACGCAAAAATGAAAATATTATGAGATTCACTATTTATTGTGGAACACAGTTTTCTAAACTGAAGGCGCAGACCTCTGGAGGAGTGTTCGCAGACCAGTTTTAGAGGATATGCTAAACCTTCAGAAGGTATCTACAGTATATAGTAATACGCATTTAGTTTCTTATGAATACAGTATACTGATAGTCACCAGTTGCGTTAAAGAACATGACTTATTTTCAATACGAATAGTAATACTGTATATTAGCCTAGATACATATAAGTCACTTCCCTCGCTGGGTGCATTTAATACAATAAACGTATATACAGTTATATGTGTGCATACACAAATATAGGTATGTAGGGAGTCCGTAAATATTTTTTGAATTTTGAAGAGGTTTCTCAGTAATCTCAGTAATTTGAAGACAGCTGGTTTAGAATTTAAAAATTAAAATCTACATTTAGTTTATTTTCAATTAATGACTTTTTCTAATTTCTCGATATATTTTCTTATAACATGACAAGGCATTTCTGACCACGTCTATAACTTTTGAACTCCGTTCAAAATTTGGATCGTCAGTTTCCAAAATTTTTAAACCAGAATCAATTTTTTCAAAGGCCTCTTTAAGTCTTTCTAAAGCAAAGGCGGCCGTAAGGTTAGGTTCTTCAAGTTCTTTGTCTTCTTCGAAGGTTCTTTGCTCTTCTTTTTCGTCTTTTACGATAGCTTCTTGTTCTGCAATTTCTTCTTCCTCGCATTTTTCAATGGTTCCCTGTTCTGCAATTTCGATAAGTTCTTCAATGGTAGGCTCCTTTTCGTGCGAGTTTAGCAATTCATTTACATCTTCTATAGAGACTTGTAAAGCCAATCGATTTGCTATATCTACCACAGATGTCATTGCCTTTTCCAAAGAAGATTCGAAACCTTCAAAGTCCTCAACGAACTGTGGACAGAGTTTCTTCCAAACTCCCTTCATATGCGATTCGGAGATTTCATTCCAGGCATCTATAATGATTTTTATAGCATCCAAAATACTGAATTGTCTCCAAAACTCTCGAACTGTTAGGCTTTCTTCCACATTGACCGCCTCCATCATTCTTTCAAATGTTAAACGAAGATAATAAGCTTTGAACGAAGCAATAACACCTTGGTACATCGGTTGAAGATTTGAAGTGTTATTTGGAGGAAAGAAGATTATCTTTATGTTAGAATGAGCGTGTTGAAGGATCAAAGGATGACCCGGTGCATTATTTAAAAGTAGCAAAATTTTAAAAGGAAGATCATTATCAGCGCAATATTTTTCGACTTCGTGGACAAAATGCTTATAAAACCATTCTTCAAAGATCGAGGCAGTCATCCAAGCTCTAGTATTCCATCTCCAAATAACTGGTAGCGTTCTCTTGTATATTCTCTTAAGTGCTCTCGGAGTCTCCGCACGATAAATCAACAAAGGTTTCAATTTACAATCACCTGCTGCATTCGCACCCAACAATAACGTCACTCGATCCTTTGATACTTTGAATCCTGGCTTCGATTTCTCTTCTTTTGCAATGTGAGTTCGCGAAGGCATCCGTTTCCAGAATAATCCCGTTTCGTCAACGTTAAATATTTGTCGCGAGGAATAGCCTTCTTCTTCAATAATTTCTGCCAATTTTTCTGGAAACTCTTTTGCAGTTTTACCTTGAATTTTGATGTTATGCCAACCTGCCCTCTTCCTAAAGCGATCGAACCAGCCTTTGCTCGCACTAAAAGTCTCTGCCTCTGACGTTTCGCCTCGCTGCTTCTTCAACGTGTCGAAGATAGATAATGCTTTGGCAGAAATTATAGCTTGGGTTAATGGTGTACGAGCAGTTCGAGTATGATGATTAATCCAAGCAATTAACACTTTCTCAACTTCGGGAATTAATCCCTCTCTTTTCCTAATGGTAGTCGACTGCATTGGCCCTGCACTTTTTACCTCCTCCAAAACTTTTTGTTTATTCTTTAAGATGGTGCTTATTGTAGAGTGAGACAACTGACACATAAATGCAAGATCCATCACTTTCATTCCAGACTCGTGAAGACTTAAAATTTCATATTTCTCTTCTAATGTTATTGCTTTACGCCTCTTGAAAGGTTTTATAATCTCATCTTCACTTCTCCGCTTTTCGGACATTTTTGGGATTAGTAGTAAGTTCTCTATTCTAAATAATTAACTGATTAAACTACTTGAAACTATTTTAAATAATAATCACATATATCGTCATTACACAGGTAAAAAATGAACAACGAGACAACTTACAGCTGATCTCTTCACAAGATGTAGACTACTCTTCTGTACTTGTGAAATGATTCGCCAAAAATTCGAGCTAATGATGTCACAATACTTCTGATTATATTTAGCATTGATTTGAGCTTATACTGGACCTTTCAGCGGTAGATATGCATGCACTATTTTCTGACGTAAAACTTAGTTATTGGATACGAGAAACAGCCGATTCAATTGTTAGAAACCATTTATACTGGTTAAAATGTTTCATTTTCTGTTATACGCTGCAGTCTCAGCCAGTCGCCAATCTACCACTGAAGGATACGCATCCAGACAGTCTCGCTCCTGCGGCACGGCATTTCATACAGTCGTAGTAGAAAATTTATACCGGTCGTAAAAAGAGGGGACCGTAAAACGGGGGTCTGCTATATTATACGATCCGCTTTTATGACCTAACTGGTTCCTGGAAAACCGTCGTTAAACGAGACGAAATAAATCGAAGTCTAATTTCCCATCGGCTTAGCGTCATAAATTGAGGTTACCTTCCCGGAACTACATTAATACCACGACGAGATAATCGGCTAAAAAAATATAGAAAGAGAGCGTTTCGTGTAATCATAATAGAAAATTTATATCGGTCGTAAAGCGGGATCTATGATAAAGCTATTAAAAAAAAAAAAGTTAAAATTATAACGAGCACAGAAAATATTTAACTTATTTAATAATTTTTTTTTTTTTGACAATTTTACTTTATTTGGGTATTATGGAAAACTTAAAATTTTTATTTTATTATTTACACGTGTATAAATAATGTTTATTCATTTTAAAATATTATTTCCAATTTAAAATTAATAATAATAATTGAATAGTTTTGCTGCATATTAATAAAATTTAGAGTTATCCGAGGAGAACTGCAATAAAACTCTCACTTTTACGACCAGGTTCTTGGAAAACTGTCGTAAAGCGAACCGTCCTATTTCCCACAAAGCTGGTATCATAAATTGTGATCACGTTCCTAGAAATATAATTTTAGTTGTATAACATTAGTTGTATAACATAGAAACAGCTAACAAGAAAAATACGCTACTTAACTATGCTATTTCATACAATCATAATAGAAAATTTATAGCCATCGTAAAAATAGAGGGATGCAAAGCAAGGGTCTGCTGAATATTGATTAGGCGGAGAACAGTTCGAGGAAATCGTTTTGCAGATTTATTAACTTAAATTTCTTAATTATATCAATTAAATAAGTTTCCTTTTGCATTCCGATAAAAAATATTACTTTTATCGAAAAGAAATACAACATTTATTGCTTTTATTTTGATTACCTCAGAAATATGACTAAGTTTATTATTTTAAATAATTTTATATAAAATTCTTAATGTTTTTATTCTCATTTGTGATGGGATGAAAGTTATATTAAACATATTTCTCAAGACTACATCTACCAAGCTCGCTCTTATTGTTAGATATTGTTTTGACTGAATTTTAACGCGAAACGCTTTCTATTTTAATTAATATCATACTTTAAATTCTAACCACACACAGGTTTAATGTATTTATACTTTCTCGGTTGTTATATATAACAGAGGGAATGTATGATGTTTTCTTCATCAACTTTGAAACTTAGGCTAATTCCTGTGCCTTTTGTCGCAAGTTTCTGAATTTTCCAGGAAGATTTGTGTATTAGGGTGATTGATGCTATTAAATTTTGATGGTTTAAGATCGAGGGGATCACGTGTCATATCTCGAGTAGTGTCGGACTTGAGAATCGCGTCCGACCAAGGTTATAAATTTGGATTTAGTATAGCAGCTAAGCACGCAGATAATAAAAATTAACATATTTTTCCATATATGAATAACGATTATGCAAATAAATTAATGAATTTTGTTAAAAGTTTATATTATTTAAGTGATAACATTTAAACAGATATATTTAATTTCATCTTATATTATTTTTTGTTGAGAAGTTTTAAGTTTCATTTTTTCACGAAATACACACATCAATAAAGGTGTGTGTATCATACATTCCTCTACGTACTGATCTGCAACCCAAGATTGTTCTTTCCATTTGTTCCGATTATTGATCCAAGCAAAAGTTGGAACTGCTGATGAAATACAATATAGAGTGACTGATTAATCATAGAACTAAAAAAACACGCTGCATTCTCATTTTATTTAAAGAGAAATAATTTTAAGAACCATTAATTAATATTGTATGTTTTCTAACTCTATATTATATAATCTGCATATGAAATATTCGTGTGTTTACAAAGTGCAGATAATAAGTAACAGTGTCAAAGAATTAATTTTATAAGAGATGGCGCTCTGAGTTTAAGCACATTCTAAGTGTGCAAAATGATTCATTTGAATCCTTCGAAATATTCAAATAAACTTGCTAAAGATAGTCTATTAATCATTATTTCGATCCATCATTCGTTAACGAAATTTACATTAACACAGAAATCAGAGCGAGTGACGGAGAACACGTGTCATTGAAACTCGCATTCAGTTTACAATGTTGCCTCGTACTTCGAATTTAATTCACTCCGGAAGGCCGTTCGACTCCGAATCAATATTTCGCATTAGAAATAATGGAAGGTTAATTACACAGCAAATACACATAATTTAAGGTTAAAAAACAATTAAATACCCTAATAATAAATTAAAACACAAACAATAAATAAAATAGACCAGCAACGAGTTACTCAACTTTCCCGGCAACATTTAAAATTTTGGTGGCGCCATCTGTTATCGTACTCTATTTAAAAACTTTTTTTTTAATAATATAAAATTGCAAAAGCTTAATTTTGAGAGTGGATGGGTGTTATAGAAGCTTGTAAATGCTAATAATGAGTAAAATCGTCATTAAGTCCGACTCTACTGGAGATCCGCACGACCCTCGTTATCTACCCATCCTCTCGACCTTTAACTACCAAATTTTAATAGCATCAATACCCCTAATATATAAACTCCCTGCAAAATTTCAGAAATTTTCGACAAAAAGCACAGGAGTTATTAAGCTTCAAAGAGGATGAACAAAATCGTGCCTCGCCCCCCCACAGAAATTACTCCGGAATATTTTTTGCATTTTTCTACGTTTCAAGATCCCGACTCCAAAAATGTAAAAATCTTTGGGAGTGTATTTTTGACTGATCGCCATACTTTCCCTCTGTTATATATAACAGCCGGAAAAGTAAAATCGCATTAAATGATCACACACCGTTGACTTCATCTTAAACATGGCGGCAAGATCCACCACACTTGTAGAGTTTTCACGCTTCGCGTTAAGTTCCCTTTTTATCTCAATCTTCCTCTTAGACTTGTTACTTCCACTCTCTTTATATTGGGTTGAACAAAAGTAACAACTGTTAAAAAAAACTTTAACACATATGTGATTTAACTATAACAATTGTGAAATTTATTTCTATATTCATAATTTAAACCAGTGATTATCAAACTACGGTCCCCAAACATATTTGATCAAACTTATCCAGATTTTTCAAACTACTGTCATCATCACGAAAGCAGCCATGTTGAAACCAGTTCAAATGGTATAAATACCTGTACTTACAAGCTACACATTGATGTATTGCTATGGGCTTAATTTTGATTTAAGATCACGTCAATGGATAATCAAATTATCGGTTGATGCGATCTTATAGAATGGTATAGTTACCCTATGGGTGCACTTAGCCCCAGCTAACCTTAATTTCCTTTTAAAGTTTTTAGGAAATTATTTCATTTCAGTGGGGATGTTGTCCCTGTAATCAAATATGATAAAAACATTCAGNAGTAGACAGCACAACAAGTATTACCGTTCTGTGCGCAAAACAAAGGATGAAATAATTTGTGTAACCAGCCCAAAATCTAGCCAAGTCAAATTTTTGTAGCCCAAAAAGTAGCCAGTGCGCCAAATGCTTTTTTTAACGCCAAACTGAAAAATAAGTAGCCAAATCTGGCAACGCTGAGTGGTGGCGTGGTGTTAGGCGTTGTGGCTGGCAGTCAATGACCTAAAGTCTAACTATGATTACTATAACAGTCTAGTGACTGCAGTGTTGCACATCATTCTAGCTAGCAGCCGAACTGTTGCCAGATGTAACTAACCAAAATATTTGTCTTAAAAAATATTTAGAAAAAGGAGAAATGTAATTTTTGTACAGAAAATTTCAGCCTGTAAAAAATAGGAAATTTCTGAGGCCAACCAAGTTTGAAGAAGGCCAGATTTCTGAAATCTGACCTTAAAAAGGCCAAATTGGCAACTCTGATTCAGATATAATCCTTGAGTTCACATGACAGTAAACAAGCCAATGTGAGTAACAAGAACTGGTATCTTGCTCTGCTGTCAAAAATTCTAATTGCATTACAGTAATAGAGAGACTAAATTATGTTGATTATGTTTGAGAAATTTTAATACTCTAATTAATCATTAACTTCAATCTCTGTAATTATCAACATGCTAATCACTTGTTTTTGAATACTTGAAACCATGGCTATGGAGTCAGAGTTCAGTTGGGAAAACTATTGATATATATTTAATAAATTAAATTGTTGCATTTTGTATTTAAAATAAATGAATTATAACAAAATACNTTTTCATATTTTTTGGAAAAAAGTAATGTTATAAAAACAAAAAATATTATATTAAATGATATGTGCATAATTGTTCAAACAAGCTAGATATTTTTATTTTAATTATTTCAGCTAGAAATTAGTTAGTAATGATTAAATATTTTGCATCTTGGAAGATTGTGCTATTATAGAAACATTGTTACAATTCCTGATTTGGAAACATTAAATTAACTTCTCAAAATCGCTGTATAATTTTTCATTAAAATTCTACTTTTATAAAACCATAATACAAGGGAGAATCAATAAGTAATGCATAATATTTTATTGTAGTAGTACTATTGGTAGCAGAGTGGTGAAACCTAGATCAGGAGTATAGTGAATCTCCCTTTACAGAAATGTAGGTCTGCATGAGGTGTCTGTCTAGTGGTGCAAAAGAGAATTAGCTAGCAAAGATGGC